CACACACACACACACAAAGGGAATCATTAAAACATCCTAAACATGGGAGAAAGAACAACAGGAAAGTAACCTGGTAAGGAACAAGGCAAATCCTCTTGTGCTAAATCAATCATATTTTTCCACTGCACTTCTTTAATAATTTGAACCCATTCCCAAGAATTTGGCAGATCCCATACGCTCTTCTGACTCAGGAAAATCTGATCCCTACAAATGAATACCACGTGATGGCATAGCTTTCTTCCTTCCAACAACTGTGAGTGTCTTTCAAACTTATTTTTTTTAGATAGCTATATAAAAATTACTTCTGGGGTATTTTAAGCTAACCATTTGTCTCAGACATTGACAAGGAATTTACTTAATCTATAACCTCCTCATTTATTTACTGGCAGAAAAGAAACAGGATTAGTTATCTTGATGCTTTATCTCTAACTTCCTTGTCTAATTTGTCTGTACTTTAATATTCTAATTATGGGAAGATGATATTTGCAAGGTTCTTAGAGGATATATAACTTCTTTTTCTGTTATTTTTCTTTTGTTATTAGGATTCAAATCCAGGCCTTACACTTGCTAGGGAAGTGCTTTTATAATTCATTTGTCTCTTGTCTTCTACTGTCTGCTCTCCAAATACTACTTAATAAATGCCATACCTAAAATATATTTTCTCTGATCCTCTCCTTCATGCAGCTAGGTATGTGTCATTCCATGAGATTTCAGTAAATTTAGTTTACTCTGATTTAGTTTTACCCAGTGGCATTGACTCCAAGTAAAGTTTCACATTCAAGCAATTTGGTAACATTAGCCTGGTATTAGCATGCTGCCTCTGTCCTTTGCCAAAAGGCTGTGGTCAACTGGTGGGTATTAAAAGAATTAAAGAGTAAAAATCTACCTCAGAAAACTTGCTACCTTGGGAATAGATCTCACATTGCAAATAGGACTAAAGTAATCCACAAGGCTTCCACCTTGGGAATTTAAAAAGCCATAATCGAAAAAATGACTGAAAGAAGTCAAATCAGAGAAGCTACTCCATCTCCTATTTTGAATGTGGACATAATTTCTTCTTTTTAACCTAGTGGATACAAAGCATCCACACCAAAGAAAATACCCTGTCATAAGTATGAGAAATGTCATCCAATAAATGCTTTACAAATAAATCAATAGTTCATTAGCAAAAGACCCTTTAAAATGTATGCATTGGGTATATACTATATCCAAATCCTATTACTCTCTAAATGTATACATAATTCACCCTCTTAGACATCCATTCATATCTGTAACTCATCCTAACTACTATGTAAAACTTAAACTTTACCAACAGAGTCCTATTGTTTGAAAATTATATGGGTGTATTAAACATGTAAATGTTTATGAATAAGACATTTTTCTCTGCCACTTGGAAAAAAACAGTATGATATCATAGCAGAAAATTATTTATCTTTAAGACAAATCAATGAGTTGAGTCAAACAGCGAGGGATATAGATAGATGAACAAAGGTTTGCTTGTAAGAAGAATGGTGGGAGAAATGGCATAAAACAAGGTACAGACACTTTTGAAGAAATGCGTGAAGTGACAACAGGACTTTGAAAACTACATGGAGTATCTCAACAAGAGTGATGATGTGTAAATCATCACTATCACTAGCCATTGCAGTCTGCATTGTGTGCATTTTAGCCTAAAAGAAAACCCACTGGCTCTTTCTGCCAATCCTCCCATAGGCTGCTTTACACTTTCCTGTACAGTGTGCTCACTATGCAGCCCACCAACAGCATCTTCCCCCTTTGATCGTACCAAGTGTATGTTCCCATCATCCCTGAAACAATGACCCAAGCCATGGTTTCAACTCTACATTCTCATTAGACAGTAGTCAGCCAGAAGCCTGGGTTGCTTTGAGCACTATGAGAAGATATACCAGACATCTGTGCAAACTACCCAGTGAGGTTATATTAGATGAGACAGGGAGACTCTCTGCGAATGTGGGGATACTGTGGTTTCTGTAAGACACATAACTCTTTTGAATTAACAGTTCAGCCAGGCGTGGTGGCACACACCTTTAATCCCAGTACTCAGTAAGCAGAAGCAGGCTGATCTCTGTGAGTTTGAGGCTGGTCTGGTCTATATAGTGAGTCTCAGGCCAGCTCGGGCTACAGGGAGACCCTGTCTCAAAAATCCCCCCCCCCAAAAAAAAGAGTTCAGTGAGCATCAACTTCAATAGGACCCACATGTTCAAAAGATAAGGGCAAGGAGGTTGATAAATGTACCATCTAACCTCATCTAAGCTGCCCGCTACAAAGCCTGAACACTGACTTTTCTTTTGGTCTTTTTGAGACAGGGTCTCCCTGTAGCCCTAGCTGGCCTGGATTCGCTATGGAGACCAGGTTGGCCTCAAATTCACAGAGATCTGCCTGCCTCTGCCTCCTGAGTGCTGGGATTAAAGACGTGAGCCACCACACCCGGCTGAACACTGATTTTAAGGCGTGAGTCTCAGTGACTTGCCAAGAAAATAGGTGTGTCCATCCCCTGCCCTCAAAACATTTCCCTGGATATTGGCACAGCATGGTCCATAAGTGAATCTGCATTGAACTTGGAAATTGGTGAACCTTGTGACTTCAAGTAAAATGTTCTTGCTTAAGGTAGCACTTCTGTAGAGAGCTTCAATGAGTGACTGCAAAGAACTGTAGGCAAGAAAATCCATGAGATTAGAAAGATGGAAAAAAAAAATTTGAAGCGTTTGTGTCTATTTATTTCCAAGGGTGCAGCACCATTCCTTGGAGATCTCCAAATCTTATAGCAGTCTTAAAAAGCTTCTCACAGTCTTTTGATACATTATGACTAAGGAGTAAGGAAATGCTAAGGTGATAGAGACTTTGGTTGTGGCAGTCCAGGGAGGATTCCGGAAAGAGAGCATACGGTGAGAGATTGGTAATTGGGATAAAACCAAAACCAGATACAAAGAATAAATTCTAGTGTTCATTACATAGGAGGTAAATATAATTAGCAATGTGACATAGCATACTAAAAATAGAAGGTAGGATTGTGAATGTTCTCATTACAAGGAAATGATAAATGTTGGAGATGATAGATAACTTGATCAAAATAAAACACAGAAAATGTACTGAAACATCTCACTGTACTCTCTCTCTCTCTCTATATATATATGCAATTATTAGCTATCAATAAAACAAGACACCAAGTTTACTAAATTTGAACAAAGGGTGTTGAAGCAAAGAGTGATTCAGACAAGAAAACAGGTAGCAAGCAGGACCTAGGGAAGAATCATGAGACACCAGTTCTACCTAAGACTTCACATATGACAATCAGTAAGCTACTTCTACTCAATGAGTCTCCCAGCTTCCTGTCTCTAAAAGTACATGGCTATAATTTTCTCAGGAATTTTCTCGCAAAAAAAATGGGGAAGGAAATACGTAAGGCATAGTAAAGATTTAAAGGGCATTCTATACTCTCTTGACACAGACATGACGCTTCCTCATTTTCCATGAAGTAACAGTAAATTTCTGAGATAGACGATGGATAATGAAGTAGTACATTAACCTAATTTTATACAGCTTAAAATCAACACTTGGAAGTCAGGCTTATAAAGGTTGTCATGGATTATACGGCATTACTTCTTGGAAAACTGTGAACCCCAATCTGAACTCCAACCAGTATTTAATGCTCAAAAAGGACAGCAGAGGAACTCTGTAAGTCTGAAGATCTCCAGAAAGTAGAGTCATTCTTAGTGAGGGACAAGAAAAAGGCAATGAATGAAAGCAGTGAAGACATCTCAGATATAATAGTTATGGAGTTATTTGGTCACTAAAACCACTTATTTTGTTACAGGTTCATAGAGCTTTCAGTCTTTTATAATGGAGGGTACTGTTATCATTTGCCATTGTTTTCAGACAGGGTCTCACTGTGTAGCCTAGGCTGGCCTTGACCTTGAGATTATATATATATATATATATCTCAAGTGGCCTCTAACTAGAGATTCATGAAATGTATTTTTCCTATTAAAAGAATTTAAGTTTCAAAATAGAATTTAGTGAGATTTAAACTTTCATATGAAGTTACACTTTAGCATCAGTCTTTGTCGGACTATATTCTTTCCCCAAAGGGCAAAGCATTTAAGAATTAATTGTGCTCTAGTAAAATGACAACCAACATTCAAGATTAATTAATGACACTATAGCAGCAAAGTTCCCTCTATTTCAAAGGAACATAGTTTAGTGTTGCAATAGAATACTGTCTGCATGGAGACTAATGAGATACATATTTCATCAAATTCTTAGTAATTTGGGGGCCCTTGAATGTGTCAATGGATGGCTCCAAAAAGCCATTCACACAAAGAGCTGACAAATTCAACCACACCACATAATGACAATCTAAAAACTAGTCTCCAAGCCACAAGTATCTTCAGAAGTGTATTCTCCTGACACCAACTGTAAACTGTTCCTGGGTCTTATTTTGTCCCAGATCTCTGAAGACTACTTCTATCCCCAAGGCAAATTGTCAGATCCAACAGCAAAAGGTATAGCTGTCAAGATACATTTCTTATTTAGGACAGGGACAGGACTGACTTCCCAATACATATGGGGAGAATAAGACTATTCCAATTTCATGATCATTCAAGAACTTCAAAATATCTGGAATCATTCTATAATTCTTCAAACACAAAGACTTAAAGCTCTGTAAGAACAGGTTTAAGGCAGAGCTAGGTACTAGGAAGAACATAAGAGTGTAAGTTGACCCATATGAATGGGTCAATGGAAATTGTCCCTTGACCTTAATGATTTCCTTTTCTGGAACAAAAGAAAGGAACTTACAGGGAAGAAAAAAAATTCAAAGTCCACTCACTCATGCCAGCATAGATATAACTGAAAGAAAAGATGGCATCATTTTGTTAGAAGATTGTACAAGCTGATGTTTCAACAAGGTGCGAAAGCCCAGTGCTCTCAATTCCCCCGCTTGCCCACTCTAGGTTCATATACCACCTGAGAAAGCATACCTCTTCCTCCAGCTTTACCACCTTTGCTTGAGCGTTGCTCAATGCCTGGTCTCGTATTTCAATGTGCCGCCTTTGGTCTTCATTGGTAGAGCGAGCAGTAATCAGCTCTGCTTCCAGCTTCTCCTTCTCTCGCTGGTTTTCTTTGTCTGTCAGGACATGAAATATTAACACTGCCATCCTGGAACTCACTTAAAATCTAACAAATCATATATTACTTGACAGTCTACTATTCTAGCACATGGTTAAATGAATCAGAATTCACAAAATGTAGATTTTTATCATGAGATCTACCACTAAACTTGCTGTATAAATTTAGAACTAATGAAAAAGTATACATAAAGTGTCATAAAAAGTCTTAGCCATTACACGAAGAGGAATATATACATATATATATATATATTATGCATACATACACACATATATGAATGTAAGCTTACCTCTCTGGTTTTGTCTATTAACAATGTTCTTACATATGAATAAGAATAACTACACCCAACAAAACTTTTCCCTCTGTTTCCTCATGACAGAATATTAAATAGCTCTAAAATGATATTTCATATAATAGATGTGATCTGAAATCCTACCCTTTTTGCAAGAACATTATATTCTGAGATCAAGACTATTAAACAGCATTCCTCTCTAGGGAAAGCCTGATCCAGCACACCTCCAACCTAAGTCATTTTATCTCACAAGGTGCTTCCCTTGGGAACCCAGTGTCTTTATAAAGGGAATGAGATAAAACTGGAAACCATGTTGTCTTCTTTCCTATTTCTTCCCCTGTAGGACAAACAAGGTGTGGAAGGATTGTTGGAACAAGGCAGGCAGAGTTAGAGGAAAAAATTCAGAATCTGAAAAATATAAGCAATCACTTCTTCTAGGAAAATTTTAAACCAATTAAAGTTTGAAAATTTAGAATTTGTATAGTAATACAATGTTTACATGCTTACAATGTGTTGCCCATAT